TAGATTGCCAGCTCAATACAATCCAATAAAAATTCTTGTGAAACAATCAGTATTACTTCAAGTCCGGGATGCGCTTCAATCCAAGCATCCATATCTTCTGATTTCGGCATTTCATCTACAGACAATATCTCACCAGTTGTTGCATCTCTTATGCGTATTGGTACTTCACACTCACCATTTTCTGCAAAATCATTAGTCCGTCGATTATACAACGCAAACTCTCTTTCTTGACATCGACATCATTACGAAAGTTTTAACAAAAAAAGACCTTGCATCTTTTCTTTCTCTTTCTGCTCACGGCGCTCATTACGTTTTCTTCGTTTCTCTGTTGCTTGATGTTGCTTGACAAGTCCTGTTAAGCTTTCTACGTATTCATCCGTTTGTTGCAACAAAAAAACCAAACGTTTGTCTTTCTTTTCATCCAGTAACTGTCTAAAATTCATATCTATGAGCGATGAGTATATTCACAATCTGACCAACTTCTGTTGTTGGAAGCTATTCTGTCTCAGAAAAACGAATTGTAGAAACGAATGGTACCTGTAACCTTCCTCATCTTCTTGCATTAATTTTTGCATACGCATTCGTTCATTTCTCAACTCGTCCTTTTTTCTCTCTTTTTCGCTATTAGCATGATAAGTTAGCACAGCCTTCTTTATTTTACTTTGCTTGACCTGAAAACTGGTTTTGTACTTATGAAAAAAACCAAAATTTCTTATAAATAATAAAAACTTTTTGAGTCAAAAAAAAATCACCTGATTGTTTCGATGAAACTCCTTGAATTCCTTTCCATGCTGCAAAATTGCTTGCAACAAATCATTATGCTTTTGTCGACGACGGCGTTCTTGCTCAACCTTTTGTTGCTTTTCTAGTTTTTCGGTAACTCGCGCTTCACGCAAAGACTGCCGTTTGGTTCGACGATAAGCGTATGGATTGAGCGCAGTTTCAAGTGTTGTATCTTTCTTTAGCTGGCTTAGGACTTCATTTCGTACCTAAATCATGGAAATTTAATACAAATCTGAAAAATTATAGCTCACATAGTTTACCTGCGTTTGTAAATTCAGCAAACGAAGAGCACGGAGCTCAATTTCTGCCTTCAACAATAGTCGTTTGCTCAAATTTGCAGGGAGATTGCTGAGCCACTGAATTCGCGCTCCAATTCTATTTTGAATTCTAAAAAAACTTGAACCAATATACATTTTGGAAATTCTAAATTCATCTATTTCTTAAACCCTAAAAATATTCTGCAACTACTGCAAGATTTCTGTACTCGCATATCTGAAAACTTTTTGCACGATTCCTGCCAACATGGATATACAGAGATAATAGGAACGGAGAGATAGATAAGATGATCTTGTGGACTTACATGCCTTAAATAACTACATATAAATAGTACTATTTTCATATCTTTTTAACTGTAATGCTAATGTGTCTGCAAATCTTAATATCATCAATAATGTGCCACGAAATTAAATTTTCTATGCACCTGTATTCCCGCTCCTTTAGAATTGTTTGTGGATCGACTCCAGGCGGAGGAGGAAGACATGTACTTCGGTTAGCACGTTGCTGATGCAGCGTCAGAATTTTCATCAAATCGTATGGCAGCTTCTCCCCATTTTCTGTCTCAACAGGAAATTCATACGGTTCAGGAAGCAGAGAAGATGGTTTCGATATAGATGATGCGATAAGAGTTGCTGCAACCGGTTCCTGTGCTGCTAACTGTTTGTAAGCTCCAATCTGTAAATAATATGTCGGCAAGAGATCTCATGCAAATCTACAATTTGAATAAATATCCAAAACGTACCTGTGCTTTTAGCTGTTCCAGTTGCTCAGATGTAAATGTATTTTCCTGTGGTTCTTTTACTATTGTGTCCACCGGTCGATGATGCTTTATTTCGGTTGATGGCGTTCCTGAAAAATAAAGCATTCCAAGAACTATTCAAATATTCAGTAAAACCTGAGGTTCTATCATTTCTATTTAAATAATTGAGTCACATAATAACTTCAATTTATTCTTAAACATTAATTCACCGGTTCTGTTCGGTCAAAGATTTATCATTTATCCTCTCAGAAAAATATCTTTCCGAAAAAAAAATTCAATTTTATGTGTATACTTATTTCCTATGAATATGGTAGAACAGATTTCATCAACTCTAGTCAAACTAAGTAGTCAATAAACCTGTGATTTTTTGTTTCAACAACAGCATCTGTGCATAACGTGGATCTGCAGTCATCTGTTGCTCTTCCATACTTGCTATAGAACTATCCAGTTTAGCAATTGCAACTTCTTCCGCAGTTATTCCATGCTGCACAGATCCTTGGACAAACTGCATCTGCGGTTGTTGTTGTGGATGGGCTGTCGTAGGTGATTCTGTTCCTCCGGCATACTGCATCGGAGGTACATAGCCACTTGATGCACCCATATATGGCTGTCCGTTAATTCCACTAGAAGAAGGTGTATATTTCGGCACATTGTCACCCATTTTCAGCTGTAAAATAATGATTACTCCAATTCAATAATTTGTGTTTTATATCGCGAAGTACGCAGCAAATCTCGCCTTCTCATAAGATAGTCAATGATACATGGTATCTCTAAAATAGATTTCACAGAACGAATTTCCTATCCCAAAAACTGTCACCAACGAATATAAACTGTATCTTGTTGTACAGAAAGTACAACATCTTGTTGTACAGAAAATAACAGCTATATCAATAACAATTTCATACATATTACACTATTACTAACACATTTAGACACATTTAGATTTCCAACAAGAGAAAAGAGTATTAATAAATATGAAGGGAGTTGTATTTTCAGAAGTGAAATTTCTACAAAACATAATTTTTTCAATGTCAAAAATATCACTATTGTTTCACTATTTTAAACTACTTTATAGCCGGAAATTAATGCATAATATATAAATGCTTCAATGTAAACATATATATGCATATTTGTGAATATGCATATATATGTTTGCATATATATATGTGCATTCTACCTGACTTTCACTATACCCATAGAGTACTTAAGAAAAAAGCTACGTATTTTCAGTAACAGTCGACCAGAGGTCACTGCGGTTGATTGCCTCTTCTTAGAGAGAAGATCGATCAGAAATTAAAACAGTCATGAAAATGTGTACTGAAAACAAACTTGTAGGTGTTAGAAGCTTTATCCATAATGCAAATTGCGAATAAAGCCTCCAATACTTATAAGTCTATTTTCAACACATGTTTTCTTACTGTTAACATTCCGAAGTAAAATGATATCAATTCCAGAAACACATCACCTATTAAATAACTAATACTCTTTTCGACGTACATAAAAATGCAACGAACGCCTAATCCACGAACAAAAAAAAAAATACCACCCTAACTCACCCACTTTAATATCCCCCTCCACCTCCGCCTCATATCGATCATTCCCGTCCATGCATATCCAAACTTTATGTCAGCGACCAGTAGTCCTGATTGAAAATCTCACGTCCCAATGCAGATATTGTCATTTGTGACATTCATTGAATATTGTTTCAGTTGGTTATGTACGTGCGTCTGAGTTATGATATGACTTGAAAAGAAAGGTAGGAATTGACATAACCTAAATTAATAGATATTTTGTTCACTAATAAATAGCATCATTACCTGCCAACTCACCTCTTTTTTTCATTCAATTACAATTGCAATTGGTACACTCAAAAGTTCATTCTCTGGCGCATTATACTATTTAATATTTGTTCACATCTTATCATTTTTAATCCTATTGCAAATACATTATTTGTTTTTTTGAGGTTCAAAAATATCCGATTAAATCTAATACATCACTTAAAGATAGACGAATAGTTCACAGCAAGCATGAACTTTGCGCACTTCGCATACTTCAATTTGATCCACAACTAGAAGTAACAGTATACGGCTCGAAATGATTTTAGTAATGTAGAATAAATTAATCCTTAATTTGCACATGATCGAATTGATTTATTTGAAATTTTATTAAAATGATTAAAATATTACCCCCAAAACATTCCCGATATCTTTGAAATAATCACATATGAATGCATCAAATTATTTACCAGCTAACTATTGAAAATATCATCTGTTGTCTGAGAAATTCATGTGTTCATTTTAATTATTTTTTGATAGGCTGTAATGATTTGATGTTAATTGCACCAGTGTACTGTATTCCATATCATTCATATTTCAAATAAACGGCTTAACAATGGAAATGTAAAGATTAAAATACTTCTTAATATTGCGTTGTATTAGCCTAAATTTCTTTTTTTGTTTTCCATTTAACATGTCAGTTTAGTGTTATTTCAGTAATTTATTTTACTTCAATGCTTTTCATAGGTTTATCAAAAATTTGTAATTAGTCTTTAAATGACAAATTTCTATGAATTTCAGTTTTGTATTTTATATCATTTTCGAAATAAGTATTACGATCAATTTTGAAATAAATGTTACGAATTTTGTCCACATCAATATTGTGTTCAGTCCTCAATAAAACACAATATGTTCGCTATCTTCTTATAAATTCATTTTGCTTCTTTCGTCAAATTCCTTTTGTAAAATACACCATTTGTTGTTATTGTTTTCATTAGAAAAAAAACTTATCGGATTCTAATTTAATGTGAAATGTTATTGAAAATCTAAAATATAATCATTCATGATTATATGACAATGAGAAATAAATACGATTGTGTGAAATGAGAAAGGAAAAAAATGATTTTATGCGATATGTACAAAAGAAACATTCGAAGTGTAACATGGATCGTAACAGAATGAACCAAAATCCCGTGGAAGAAAGAAAATGAACCATTATTGACATAATGAATTGAGAATAAAAATTTATGATGAAATGAAATGTTTAAAATAATATTAGTAGAAAAGGGTAATGTATTTTATGAGAAAAAATAAACCAATGAAGGAATTTTAACTGAAAATTTCAGCGTATAAAAAATGAAGTTGATGTATTTTGGCATTCAGCATTACATTAAAATTGACATTTGCTAATAGAAACTTCGCTCAATATCAAAGTTGGTTTGCAATAAAATAGCTCTATCAACTAAACTGATGGATGTATTAGACAATCGTGATACTATTGATTCATTTAAACTGATACCTTCTCGAAGTATTCCATTCATCATTTTCATCATACCACCTTTTGCTGCTTCCTTGAAACTATTTAGTGATTGCAATGGAAGACCGAAAAAATCGATATGTTCATGAAATTGCAATGTTTTTATTTCTATTAATCCTGAAAATGAAATCAATTTATCTGTAAACAAACAACTGAGAGCGTTCAGATAGAACCGCAAAATGTTCGGTATTCCCTATATATGCATCGCTGTGTTAGTAAAAATTCTTCGGATTTTATTGCATTCTTTAATGCTAACTGACCATTGAACAATCTGATGATGTTTTAATTAATTTCATGACAAATACGACGAAGACTAAAAAATCTTTTAAAGAAAAGGTTTGAAATTTTAGCCATAAAAACATTTAATTCATATTACGCGTCATTGATTGCAACTTGACTTCATATATCTCCTCATTTGGCATAAAACTTTTGAATATATACTTATTGTTTTTATTACTATTAATTCGTTGAATTAAGAAGAGTATATAAATTGAAATGTGGAACAACTCCGCTGTAAAGAAATTGTAAAACAATTTTCGAATTAATTTCAGTTCCACTGCGATTAAAACTAACCAGTAATACGGCGAGGTAAGTTTATAACTTTGCATTGTATCGTCGTATGGAACGGTATCACACCAATTTCTTTCGTTGATCCTTCAACGAAAAATGTCGCCCGACCCTCGAGCATCACAATGGCAGTATCTGATTTATAAAAAAAATCCGCAATTCTAATACAAAGCTTTCCTATATTTAAAAAAATTTTGATATACTGCTTGTAGTGTTTAATAAAATGAAATTTTACTTGTCTCTGATAACCTATACGATAGTCAAACCTCTCGAAATGACTGTTTTAGGTGGTTCAGTGGTGCGTAGGATAATTTCAAGTTGATTATTTGGATATGTTTCGGCAACTTCTGGAATAATATCCGATAGACATACGTCATCTACTCCACACGATGTACGTATTAATTTACCAAGCACAGGTGTTCCTGAGCCTACACTGAAAACTAATGCGCCAATGCTGAAAATGATAATTATGAAACATAACAAACAGTATGTGAAATATGTTAATCTAAAATTAAATAATTTTGCTTCCGTACTTATCGAAGAAATAAACCATTCAGTCCATTCTATACAACGGTAATAGCACTGAAAGATTAGTAGTGATTTTAAAATGATCAATCAATTATTAAAAGATATTAAAACCATCAAGTTTAAGAAGTAAAATTGCGCCTAACACGTAGGCGCAAGTCGACAACAATGAAAGCGATATTGCAACGACGTACACTTTGCGCGGCTTGTGCTGGTCTTAAGAAGCCTAAGCACGACAATTTGTTGTTACATTTGATTTCAATTAGATTTTTCGGAATTTCAGAAAATTTATGATATAAAATGTTCAGCAATGAAGATTTAGACTTTCAATTAATGGTTATTATTTGGAAACATTTCACTGAAATGGGTTTAACAAATTTTAGCATGTGCACATCTCAGAAGCTTCAAGAGAACTATAAAGACATTAGCACCTCAAGCTTAACTGTTCTTTACATTTGTAATTAGTCCAACTATAAATGTAAGGATAGTTAAGCGATTGCAGCTTGCATTATGCAACTTAGTTTTCTCGTGTAAGCGAAAAAAGTAATGCACTGAATGGCGCAATAGTTCTGATAATTTAAATGAATCATTTTCTTTCAGTGGCGGACTTGTCACAGTAACAGTACATCGGAATGAAATGATTCACACCATTCACTTTGATCGAATCCTTACATATGTGCTTTAAGGAGAAGTGTGTTGATGGTATATTCCGATATCAATAAGTCTATAGCATTTCCATTCATCATTTCAGTGAATCGTAACCTTTCTGGTCGTTGATAAGGATTCTAAAACAGTTATCTCATTGCATATACAAAGTTGCACGTTATCCGGAAACTTTTATTCCTCAACGAAAGGTTTAAATTGCAATTAAAAATATCGTCATAAATGATTCTGCCAATGTTTCACCAATTATCAAATATTGCTATGTGTTTTAAAATGCAATAGATTTGGGCATGATAAGTATGGATATTGGAATAATTTCAAAAATGGAATATTTTAAATGATGGAAATTAAACAAATTGTTAACAGAGGATTGTGTAGTACGTGAAAAAAATCACAAGCACAGAAATTTATCAATAGTCATTTTATAGTCATTTATAGTCATTATAGCCATTTATAATTTCATTTATAAACTTATCGTAAGTAAAAAAAAAAAACAAAAATAAATGAATAAAACGAACTTTAATTTGATTATGTGCTCTAATATATACGTCACCATCTAGACCGGTGAAAAATCTACCATGTGTTGCACTGGTGTCTAGAATACTCAGCGAAACAATTAATACAGTTAACTTTTTCCACCAAATTTCCGAACTGTTATTCTATAAAATTAATTATTAACAGATGAGAATTCTTAAATATATTCAAGAATGAAAAAAAAAAACATCGCATATTAAAATTTGAATAAATTGAAAATTTTGAGAAAAATATAATTTAAAGAAAGAAAATAAAAAAGAACTAACGGTGCTAAACGAAAGTTTTTTTGATTTCTGGAATATTACGGTTGTTGGGAAAGTAGATGATGATGATGATGAATTTAGAATTTTTGCTTCTATCTTGTCTCCATAAGGTGAGACAATGAATAATTCATTTAATTTACTTAATTGTGATTCTTGCGACATATCCCTTTCGAAAGGAGTTTGGAATTTAAATTGCATTGGAACTGCAAAAATCGTGGTAGGCATTTAATCAGGGCTAATATATTTTTTTTAAGAGTTAATATGATAGCTAGTCTTATTTAAATATCAAGAATGAAAAAAAAAACAAATTTAAAATTCAAGTTATCAAACTTTTTATTTGTCTGTTTTTTTTAATATGAAAAGGCTCACTGTGCAGATGGTTTGGCTTGGATTCCAATGCTCTTTTCATCCTCTGACCGCTTATATTATCCGAATTCTGAACAATCATTTTGAAAAAAAAATTAAAAAAAGATTATGCTCCATTCGATAGTATATTATAGTATTTTCTGCTTAAGAAATCTCCGGAAAATATTCCTAATCACCATAAACTTCGTCGCTTCCGGTTACTATTTCAAATAGATACACAAAATTTTCACTAATTTAAAAGAAAAACAAACAATTGAATATTTCATTTTATAGTTTACAATGAGATCGAAAAAGAGGATATAGTAAAATAAGTTCATTTTAATTTTTTTTGCAAGCGAAAAAAGAAGAAAGGGAGTAGTGTCAACCTCAAAAACCATTTGGTATAAATCAAGGATGGATATTTCACTCGGTATTTGAAATAATTGGCTATTAATTTCATTATTAATCACATCATTTATGGTATTGCAAAGAGTTTCTTCTAACATTTCCCGAGTTTTTGTCGTTATTTCACGCTGCAATGTATTATATATGAGTATTACTTTTGTAATCGCTCTATTATTAACAAATATCACAACAATTCATTGAATTAGTAATTGAGAAAAAAAGTAAAAATTTGTATCTAAATTTTAGTATTGTTTTTTAAATTTTCAACTCATGATTAAAAAATATTCATTTAAAAATTTTTGAATTTTTATCAAACCTACAAGGACAATTACAGAAGGACTGAAGTGAATGAAAGTAAATACTACCTGATACTTGGCATTGGCAATGACGGTAAATAAGCCCATATTTTCTACCTGAGCTAGGATAGCTCCATTAATTAGAGAACAACTTATTACTCGAATATACGGTACATTGTCCACGGTTTTTTGGATATCAAATGTAGCTCCTATGACAAGTTGATTAGCAGATACTGCTAATGTCCCATATGTCGGTATTGTCATCGGAAATAGCGGTAATAGTTGTAATTGCCCGTATAACGTACCTGCGATGCTTTAACACTGATTTTAGTTAATAATTTGATTAAGATGAACGATTAAAAAAATTATGGTATTTCTTTTTACTAAATTATAAATCATTTTAATGATGAAAATCATTTCTTAAAAATCAATTTTCTTTGAAATCATTTTTTCTTGTAAACATTATCGGTAAATATAATTTAATCGAATTTTATTTTATTTTATTTTTTTTTATTTTTATTACGCTGAAGTTGCATTACAACGTACTAAAAATTAAAGCCGCTAATTCTAAGTGTCAAAAAATTTGGTGGTGTTGGTGTCACTCCAACGTACGATGGGTTTTTATATGCAATAAGTTTGAAATCCTGAATTCTAACACATCCTTCTGGAAAGCACTGTTGTTGTGGTGGAATCATTACCCGTTTCATATACTTTTTGAATAAATATTCTGAAATTAAAAAATGAATTTATTGCTAAAAAATGTTTGGTTTTTGCTACAATTTTTATGATTCAAATAAATATTTAGATATATTTTCATGTTCAAAGCATTTTCACGTGTTTTTATATTAAAGGCGCGCAATTGAAAAATTTACTCTATTTCATGGCTATTTATCAATGCTAATAATCATAGTTTTATAATTTGAATTATATTTTTCTTTGAGTTTCATTAACATCCTCATTATTAAGAATTTAGATGTTAATTTACTTCTTATACTTCCAATATTTCCGTATTTTTGATTTTTTCTCAAAATTTTTAAATTAAATTTTTTGACATGGAACGAGTCAATGTAATGAATTCTGAACATTTATAGATTTTCAGGGCGAAGCAAAAATAATACCGACAACTCTGGATAACTGCTGAAATATGTCATCACTGAAACGCACTCGTAAAGCAGAATGCAGGGGAACGAAAATTTCATCGGATGTTCCGAGGCATTCATTGGCAGTACTCGCTAACCACAACGCAATCTTGAAAAATATACCCACCATTCATGTTTATATGGAATTCAAAAACTTTCTTTCATCATTGAAAAATTTTCATTTCAAAATTTTATTTTATTGTAAATATTTTCAACATAATTCAAAACAGTGGAAAAATAAGTTCACCGAGAAAGAGTTCAGTTTTCATAAATACAAAGCTAACGGGAAGCATGACAAACTGCCGATCTGACCCTTTTTGATCTCTGATTACAGATATATTTCCCCAAAATTGAAAAGTAAAAATTCTAAACTTATTTAAAATTTAATCTTAAAAAAATCCTAAGTGTCTTTTATAAAATGTTTTTAAGGTAAGTCAAAACACTGAAATCTTTATCTAATAAACAAGTGAGTAGTAATTTGTTTAAAACAATATTTTTAAGTATTAATGAGAATTACAAAATATATTATATATTTAACATATCATCACACCTTTTCATATTAAATTATTTGAATATAATGATAGGAACTTGCAAATATATCTGTCCTGTTCGAAAAAAAAAAAAACAACCATCACCTTTGACATCAACTTTTCTTTTGCAAACCTACCGTAGCGAAGGTAAGATAATGCATTTGAAGAACAGTTCTATGCGTGTACACCTCAGTTCGTTTGATTTGTTGTACACTTTACAATTGCTCTAATTAGTTTTCAAGTTCACTGAACCCTAGGAAAAAAAAACGAAAATATTTTTAATTAAATTACACGTATGTTAATGAGAATGAGAAATGAAGAAAAAGTATTGATAGACGAGAGAACTAAAAGTACAATGACTAACGCACTGTTTCATTGTTTAAATAAGGAAATGAAAAATAAAAAGGTCTTAGCGAATTCTCAACTTTTTTAGTCAAACGATCAAATGAGGGCATTTTATTCAATTGGAACAATAGATGATAATGAGGAGAATAGATATAATCTCACAGTATTTGACATATCTGTAGAATGAGCAAAACAATTGGGATACGATCTGTGAACCGTTCTTACTGTCCTTCTTCAAAATCTAATTATCCATGATTCTTAGATAATTGTTTTATTGCAATTACATTTTCTCATTAATTAAATAAATTTTGTAAGTTGAAAAGTTTTTTTCTAAATTGATTAGCTAATTTGAAATATTCAAAAATATTATATTCAATGAGAGATAAATAAAAATTGTCGTCAATATTCAATATCAGAAATACCTTCTTTTTCTACAATAGTTAATTATGAATAAAAGCATAAATTATAGAAGTAAAGATAGAATGATTCAAGAAAAGAATAAATTTCTCTTTCCTGAAATCAGTAAATTGTTATCTTCCGGTGTTACTAAAAATTTGATTTCAATATAAAATGAAGAAAAAGCATTCGAATAGATATAACTGTTAGTGCACCTTAATGATATTCATCAACTCAACAAAAATTGTCTAAAATTGTCCAATATTTGATAAGCGATGTAGTGTTTGTCAATTTTTACACCCATGACAAAGGTTAGACAATCAATATAAAAATTAAAAGAAAGGAACAAAAGAAAGAAACATGTAAGTTGAGATACATATGACTGATCAGAAATCAGAATTTCGTCTGTTGCATATGAGAGAACGAAAAAATGTAATCGCTAGCATTTTAAACTATGTGGTTTTGAAATGTCTGTCAAAGATGATTCGTTCCTGTGATATTCCCAAACATATCTTATTCATAGCGCCCAATCTTCAAGGACAAATATTTTCTCAACAAAAACTCAAACAACCGATGAAATCTGATGGGAGCGTAAAGGTTATAAATTTGAAAAGAGACTGGTTTCTCTTTCATAGTGTATGACTTTTACTTGTTGCTTCGATATCTCCTTGAACATTTCATTTCAAATATTGATATTTGAAATCAACTCTCATATTACATTTTACTCTCTTTCAGTAACACCCGTCCTAATCAGTGTTCCACATGTCATGCTAATGCAAATGGTAAACTTTTTAATACATGGAATGCAAATGTGTTTTACTGTCCTAAATCACTTTTTTTTTTCTATGAATGATGGACAATATTATCAACAGTATTTCGAACAATCCGAAAAGCTTTTTTAGATCAAACTCGAAAAACAGTTATTGTAAGAATTTTTATCGCATAAAAACAATGAATAATGGAAAAAAAAGATGAAGCAGACTAAGAAATGTGGGTGAATTTCGGCAATTGATCTTTGGGAATGTAAATTGTCCAAAATCTAAGAATATATTCCGGGGAGTTATATATAGCTTTACATAAACTCAGTAATTTTACACCTCTCAAAGAGCACACTTTCCATAATACTACTAGCATTGAATCGTGTACTAGTTATATGAATAAATTCACAATCCACATGATGACTACACATACCTTCCAGCACTAAACGAACTCTAAGCAGTAATAAATCTTCTAAGTTTTGGTCGCAAATGACTTCGATTAAAGGCTAAGAAGGAATTCAACGTAAAGTGAGCTAAGATTAGCTACCAATACTATGTCACCCTGCTCCTAAAACTACTTCCTTGGCGACTCCATTATCCTTTTGTGAATAACTTTCCTGAATTCTTTACATCTTGAAATAAATTGCCAAAATTCACCTTGTTTGCTTCGTGAGGAGGTAAATTACATATGAAGTAGTCCTCATCAATATCCAATCTATAGTCTTAAGTTATTTCGAAACTTTCAAATAAATTTATAAAAAAATTAGCCACTTGCATTTTCAAACTATGACCTACAAATTTCAGGTAAATTCACAACTAAATGGAATTTGTATTCAGTAATTGTAATCCACACATATTTTATGATGCATCTGTCCATATAAATCGGAAGAAGTGAAAGAAAGTTCTGAATCAGCTGTGATTCACTGAAACCACACAAAATTCGTCAACCAGTTATGCTGCTATAATGCATAAAAAGTAGTAACAGCAATTTAAAAAAATTGGATGATTTGAAAAACTGACAAAAAGAATAAAAAAAACAACTCGTGAAACTTGTATAAGGAAGCAATGCAACTTTGTTGGCATTTCTCTCATAAACTTCCACTTTTTCACATTGTATTGGTGGCAGTACATTCGAATTGTACATGGCTACTTTTCACTCGCAGACGAGGTGTTATCGCTGTGCTGGCTTTTTTCGTCACATATTTCCAATAAATTTCCAGGAGAGTTCACAGTACGCTAGTTTTCTGTTTGAAACAAATATACAAATGACTTTAAAAGGAGAGTACCTCAAAATCTAACAAGACAAAACTATGGGAGATCAATACATGCAACTGCATTAGCAACCAATGATGGAAATTTGTAAAAAAAATAGTTGAAAGAAAAAATGATAAAGCAGATAAAACGGCCTTTTGAGATGAGATTTACAAGGCAAAATAAGCTGTAGCAGTGGTAACATAATAAGAGGCAGTAGAAAAATCTGAAATGACTGACGAGGAAAATTTCCTGAAAGTGATGATCTAACAAAAAATTTTTAGAAAAGACTTGCACTTATAACTGAACGCTGAGGATTACAAAATGAGCAAGTTATGAAAATGAATGATAGTAATTATAAATGTCCAGGTTGGTGGTGAAAGATGAATCTGGAACTGGAATGATATAGTCGGGGTGAATTCAGTCTTCGAAATTAAGACCTGTTGGTCGAGTTCTTCGGCGTTTGCTCGATTCTGGTGCTGACCCATTTTCATGTTTTCCAGGTTTCTACAATAAATAAAACTTTAAAAAAAACAATAAGCAGAATTTGTAAATAATCTTTTAAATCATTTTGTTCTTTGACTGGTTTCACTTTTTTAGAAATTTTTCAAAGAATGTGAAGCAAAAACAAGCAAACTCTATATGAAGATCAGAAAAATTTATTCAACAGAAAGAAAACAACAATGCAGATTTATAAGTTCACGATTTCTTGACGAAATGAGTATTAGCAAATAATGACGTTGGAATGCATATGACTCCGTGTACAATAAATCAAATTTTTAATACTTAAATTTCAGAATACTCTCAGTGAGCATGAGTCTAATTTGAATTTAGTGTGATTAATGCTTGCTTACTGACCAAAGCAACATATCAATTTTTTAAATTAAGAGAAATTTTACAAAGCAATTTTGGATATTGCAGAGTTAAAAAAAACAATAATCCAGATGCGCAAATCTACAAAACACCATACCTCCTACTTTGTCCATTTTAAAGCAAGTTTCTATACAATAAAAATACCTGTCTTTCTCTCTGATCATGATTTCGTACTTTTTTCCGAGAAGACATCGCCTCATCACTTATTCTATTCCTTAGTTGACGTTTAGGCTATAATGCACTATACTATTTCTACTATTCTACTTTTTAGTGGAACTCCAAGCTAGAACAATGTATACACGTATACACTACACTCTATCCTTTAGCTGACGTTTAAATTACAGTACACCATACTTTCTATTTTCCCATTATAAAACAAGTTTCCTACTAAATTTTAATAAAAATACTTGTCCTTATCTGATCTGACTAATTTCGTAGTTTTTTTTTTAACAAAAACACTTGCCTTACTCTGATCTGATTGGCTTCGCACTGTTTTCCGAACAGCTATTAGTTCATCACTTATTCTATTCCTTAATTGACGTTTAGGCTATAATAAACTATCCCATTCTATTCCTTAGATGACGTTCAGATATTGTAGAGCGAGTTTCTAGTAAATTTAAACAAAAATACTTGCCCTTCTCTGATCTGATTGATTTCGTATTGTTTTTCGAGCAGCCATTGGCTCATCATCTGTTCTATTCCTTAACTGATATTCAGTACCTATTCGATTTCTTAGTTGATGTTCAGACTAGAATACATTATTCTATTCTATTCCTTAGTTTTGAAGTTGCACCACATCACACTTTCCTATTTTCTCCAGTCCAAAGCAAATTTTTATAAAATTAGACCAAAATACTTGCCCTTCTCTGATCAGATTGATTTCGCATTGTTTTTCGAGCAGCCATTTGCTCAACGTCTGCTCTGTTCCTTATCTGACGTTCAAGCTACAACATACCTGTTAAGTAAATTCCAAAAGCATTCTGACACCTCAATGTGTAATATATTAAAATGCTCAACTCGATTTCTCTAATTAAAGGGAATCTTTTTTGCAAATTTAATGGAATGAACATGAAGGTAAATATAAAACTTACTAAATATAAATAGGCGTTAACAGTTTTCTCCAATAACTCAACAGTTCTCAACTGTATATTCGCTTCATTAACACGATTCAATTCGATCCTATGGACAACATGCATTAGAATCAGTTTATCATCGGTTACTTCAGATACTTTCAGCGTTCTCCTAAGTATCATCTCTCTGAAAAATATGGAAGTTTGCTCTTCAAAAACTTCTACGACTGAAAGTCTTGAATGTATTACATAGCAGAAATACTGCGCTGAATAATCCAAATCATAACAAATACTAACCGAAGTTATAGTAAATATAACAAATATTATTGCTAACATTCATAATAGCACCACAACAAATCAAAAAGTGCATATTGAGTCACAGAAGTATTTCATTTTTCAAACCTGAAGTCATGTAAAAGTTTTGAAAATGCCTCACATATTCGAGACAAAATTAGCTCTTGCTACTGGATTTTTGCGCTTACATACCAAATCATTTTTGCATTATCATATCAAATCAGGATTTCTGCACCTAATTTGACCCATTGGACTTATGAAACCTCTTGTTCTAGTACTAGTTTCGACATAAATTAGCAAAAATTAAAAAAAAATGATTGGCTACACAGCATATTTTAAATGCAAAAAAAAATGGTACATAGCATATTTTAAATGCAAAAGATTTAGCTTGAAGCAGATAACTCAGATTTTTATAATGTTAATTACAAAATTTGTGGGCAATTAGGCCCATCCAAGAGTTTTATTCTACGACCATGGGAGATTGGTGGAAAGTTTCTTTCGTGAATAATTAAATTAGCATATGTTAACATGTAATCCAATATTTTCGCTACTTAAATATGTCTCACGATATGAAAAATCATTGTAATAAAAGTCGTCCGAGGCTAGCAGTGTCGTTGAGATCTCTTCAGGAGAAATGTTGAATGGATGTACAGTGACAGAAACTGAATCAAGATATTTGGATACCGTTTTAGAGAAAAAACGGCACAAAAGAACTGACGAAGGTTAATATAGTGCCACTAATATCCAATTATTGATCACATGTGATACTAGCATGTGATATCGCATAGTAGGAAATAATTAGTTCTTAATCAAGTTTTCTCTAGATCTGATCCATTTTAGCAGTCTATTTTTTCCTAACCTTCGACCTACTTTTAGCAAATAAATATATGAATACAATCATAATGATCATTATGGCGCATTTATAAATTAAAAATCTTTTCTAAATCTAACTTTATCGTTATCTGCCAAGAACTGTCATGATTACTTAAAAGCGATTTTACTAATTTATCCGAAATTCCATAAAGTGTAATTGGCTCGAGAAAACGGTTAAACTAAATCTCCCATTTCTTATATCAAAACAAATGAAAGAGAGTGAATAAGCGAAATATAATCCATAAAATCCACAAAACCGCTTTTAGTACCTTTGATTCTACATCTAACATCGCATGAAACCAAACGGCCACATGTTACTTGGGCCGAGGGCACTATCGATAATGAGCATCTAGGCAGAATGAAGAGCAATTGTTGTTGCATATGGGTGAAACCACATGTTTGGGATGATTCGACCACTTGGGAACAGGATGAATACGAAGTATGCAAATATCAGACTATATGATTTGAAGAAAAACAGAAAGTTCAAAAGAAAAAATAAAGAGCACTGAATTTATGTATCTAAATGACCATCTCAGTTGATTTAAAAGGTATATCGTAGCAGTGCACTGACTCTCTAGGAGAAAATACTTTTTGAATAATTTCGTCTAGTTTATTTTCAAAAAAGCCTTTATAGGTTGAACATTGTCGCGGACATACTCTAATAGTGCCACCACAGCCAAATAAAGAAATTGACGGTCAACGAATGTAAATTAAATATCAAGAACATCCCAATCTCGTAATTTTCTGCAACAATTATTCCCGATGATCCAATAAATCATTCGATAAATCACATTCTGTTTCTGATGTCAATAAATCCACTTAATGATTATCTTACCTTGTACTTCATTTTTACTTAATTTTTTGAACATTGCTGAAAACGGTATGATACGAAACCAGAGTTTTTTTATAAAATTGAAAGTCATTATGAAAATTGATTTGAAGAAAACAGAAACAAGTTAATACAAAAGCAAGAGAATTTTAACCTATCTAGGAAATATACTTTTTTTCATCATCTAATAAAGTTTTTTTAATCCATCTAAGAAATATACTTTTTTTTATCATCAATCGACCTAATAAAATACATCCCATTCAATATACTTACTGCCAAGATTGTTCGAGAAGTGATTCGGAAACATTCCCAGCAAATTCGATTCGGTCTTTAATTGTCATCGTCTTTTCGTAAGTCGATGCCTAGAAAAAGATTAATTTGCAAGAGAAAAAAAAAACTATGCTTTTTGTTATATGATGACAAATAGACGAATTTCCATGTATTTTTCGCGACTACCCACAATGATATATTTACATGATGAGAGTACAACTTTTCTCTGAAATCTTTAAATATAAAACAACTCCTTATTAATTAAAAATTTACCATGCTATCAGTTACGACCAACATTGAACGAGGTTTATCGAAATATACGAACCATCGTTCTGCACCTTCATTGATAACGCAACAATGAAAACTGTCTCGCGGCATATTTCACTGGACTTCAAAACTCAAAATTTTTATGACTTGTAATTTTCAAAGAGAGATTTTTGAAAAACTACCATTTTGACCAATAAACTAGTCGCTTGAACAAAAACCGAAAAATACGACAGTTTCTACAGTGATCACAGATTTCAACAAATAATTTCGTATAGAAAATTCACCACTAAACGAAATAAAAGTAAAAATGATGTGTGAGTTTATTGCGCATTTAATGATGAAAAATATTATCCTACAATACATTCTTGAAATTTTCGAAGCACACGTTTGGAAAATAATTATTGTAACATTATGTCAACAACTATAGTAATAAATTTAAAAGACTAAAACATAAAAGAAAGACGCAATGTATAAAAATACAAAAGATGATATAAACCCCCATGAGCTTCTTTATACAAAATAACCGAATGAAAGATACAATAATCTTATAAAAGTACAAGAATACACAATGACAAACTAAGGCCGATATAGTCTAGTTCATGGATGTTTCCAAATCATTGAGTTTCTATCAAAAAATTTCCTGTACTCTTCTCTTGTGAGATTTTCAAAACTTTGTTTAAGCAATTAAATTTAAGAAACAATTCAGTCCGATTGAATTATCAGTATAAACTCTCTCTGTCCAACTTTTTGTCATGTAAAATTCCATCGATTATTATTTCCTCATTTGAAAATAAATAACCTATAGAAAATAAAAATTCCAAAAAAGGAAACAAAAAGCATACTCCAAAGCCACTTGACAGGGAGGAATTCATTCATTAGCAGAATGAAAAAATGCCTTACAAGTTTATTGGCCATCAAAAAATGAGACACAGTAAAAATCAGCAACACCTAAAAGAGGTATTTGAAAACAGTCACGCAATGCATGGATTATATGCATTACATAAGCTATACCACATTATGTAATACAATAATTATGACTAATGGGTGCGACAGCAAGAAGTCATTTACCACTACCAACTGGTAAGCATTAAAATTGTGTGGTTGCATTGCGATATGCATCGACATGATTCGATGAATGAGGATATTGTGTAACATACCAATCGTGTACATACATCAAAATGGTCAAAGGTTGGCCAAGAATCAACGATAACCACATAACAATGTTTCCAAGACGACCACCTTTCAACATTTTCTCAGTAAAGATACTGAGAGGTATTTGTGCCATCATACATAGATATGCCCAAAAACGAAACATATGGAGCGGAACTGATACCTGAAAAAGTAGGATTTATTCCAATTCCTTCTCTTAGATTAATTTCTCAAGGATCCCAACTATAAAGTCCATCCTGGAAATAAAATAAACCGGCGATCTAACAAATTTTGCTATTTAATTTGAATGTTAACAAGATTTCAGTATGATGTTTCATTTTTGATATTGAGAGCGATTGTATGAAGCATCCTGAGTTACCTACCTTTTAAACTAAAAATTCATTTTATTAATATTGACTACGGTTTGGGACCATTTTATTGCTTCTAAGCAAAATAGCCAGCTAATGATAACTGAGTGTACTGGTATAATCAGGGAAGCATTAAGTTCTGTTTCGAAGGAATCAGAAATATCTGAAAAATGAAGATATTGGAAATTAATCGTTTAACCCAATGATTTCACTACGATCCAGCTTCTAGAAATTCTAGCGCAGACAAAGTGATGCTCGTATAACAAAAGAGAACTATCATTCTTTTACTTATTCTCTCGCCCGAAAAAACGGAAGGTGACGAATTGGTCACCAATAAAATAAATTTTTTTAAGAAACCTAATAGAAAGTTACAAAAATGTGGAATATGCTAGTTTAAGTGTGAAATACTACGGCTGTGATTTCAAATCCAGTGAATATCTCCCTAGTCTCCACTTCCAACCGATCTTTAACAAAGGCTTTGTAAATGATGCTACTTAGCAGAAGCAAATGGAAGATTAAATAAAATTATTTCTGCTACAGTAATTACTTATGTACCTAGCTGATCATAAAACAGGTAGAATAAATAATGTTCTACCATCATCTTTAATCTTCAATTTAAAATATTGAATTTAAATTATGTAATGAATTTCATTCAGATTTGAGTCATTTAATTCATTAACGATATAAAGCAGTATAACTATAGTTGCATGACTGATGTGCAAGACAATTTTTTCAATAATTTTCGTCAAGGTATCTCAATAATTAATTCCATCTGGTTGTTGATTCAATACCATAAAATTATAAGATTATTAAGATTTTATGGATACGAAATATCACTAACGAGATACTCATGAAAAAATGCAGACACGAAGAAAACAGCGCATGCAGCATTCATCCTACTAAAACCATTAAATATCATTGGTCGATAAATATGTCGAAGAGCCCAACGATGTACAGGTATATTCCACGTCTTCCAAAATACTGCCAAAGTTTCTGCATTCCAGAAATCTCTGAAGAAACCATCATTCTCTTAATGCTATAATACTCAATGTTGCTACAGATTTAGGATTCATGATCTCCTACAAAAAGTACAAAATGTAAAAGGTGGTCAAATTTAGCGCTGTATTAATGTAAAATGTCAGGATATTATCCAACATAAAATAATTTGATATATAAACAGGACATTAAACTGCAGAAATATCATCTCATTTCAATTATTACATTTATAAGAATAACGAGATAAAATAACTCTAAAGATTTAACTAGCAAAAAACGAAGACATAATACAGTAAGCAATGTGTAATGCTTAATCAAATAATCCTGACCCATACCACGAACTCATTATTAGCAATTTATATAGGATATGTGCACTTTTGCTTCTTACTAACAAGAGACAAAATTTCCTAATATAGTATGATAAAATGAAGCCTGATAATCTTAGTACCAATTAGTAATTTCGGAAAGAATTATGATTGCATAATTCAGACATCTTTTCTAACTCACAAATAGAATTGTCGGTCGGCAAATTCCATTAATTCAGCAATAAGATTCAGAAGAGAATGGAAAGTAGTATAGAATGAAATGAGCCAAATTACATGATTTGGCACAGCCAATTTAAGAACTCTTTCGATGCACAAACTAAAATTCATTGTTGTAAATGGTTCCACGCTATTACGTAATAAAGGCACTATCCATTGTTGGCATAACGCTATTATGATCAATGTCAAACAACCAAACTGAAATATACGCTTACATTATACAAATTAAATCAAAAAGTTGGAAATAAGATTAAGTTGAATGCCACCAAGCCATTTTTAAATCGGAACAATTTTCTTTAAAATGTGCTTCTAGAGTTTCAAAATTTAATGGCATACGGTTAAGAAATTAAGCTCTCTAAAGCAGGAAATAAACATCTACACCTCAGCAGTTCGTTTCACAATGAACGATTTTCTTCGTCCATTTGTTCGTGGAAATTGCAATTCATAGCATAAAGTTGGAGCAAATATGAAGTAGTATAAATTTTGTAGTGTTAAACTGTGTGGATATGTCAAGAGATTTCTTTTCTGCAAAGTTAAACTTCGAATTTTTAATCAGGAAAATAGTGAATACTCATGTTTTAATTTGAGCAATTTTCTCTGGGAGAGGGGGAGATGGGGAGACATATGTCAATGAATCGATTTAATCCTAATCATTCATATTTCGTAACGCTTTTGATTAACTTATTTTAGAAGGTAATATCAATTAAAGAAGATTAGTACTAAGAAATGTTTCAATTATTATTAATTTCTAATTTTTGCAAAGTTCGTAGTAAAAGTCATGTATAGCATTTTTGACTTGTTTTTCAATAACAGTCATGTTCCTTTAAACCTGATTTTTTTGGGAAAAAATCTAAAAACAAGACAAACAACTTTTGGATTAGCTTACAAAAAAAATGGAAATAATTACAAACTGAGAAATATTTCCGAGAAAAAACACAGAAGCCAGTAGTGCACGTTGTGCATTTTATAGTATATTTCATTTTCGAAAAAAAATGTAAGCAGGACAAAGAAAATTGATAGCGAATTCGGTAAGAGATTGCAAATCAATGAGCCATGCCATGTAGGAGTAGGCATTAACTACAAAAACAGTGCACACAAGGACAAAAGAATGTAAAACTTCATAACAGAAAAGAACCGAATGATTTTTTAAGATAAGGAGTCATAACCACACGAGTATGGCCATGTCAACACAAAGAAGTGCTCCATAAAATCTATTCCACCCCTCCGTTTCCATTACTTATTGACCTTGACCAACAATTTTCAAAATTATTTGATGAGGGGTGTCATTATAAAAGTTTTTCCATACTTTTATAACTTAGTTGGTTTTAAAAAAAATTAAAGATTTACGGCAACAATAAGCTCCGCATCAAGTTATTTGGCATAGACAAACTCGGACTCGGACAACTGTTAAAGCTTAAATCATTTGACAAAGATTGGACAAGTGCTACACTGACTAGTAGTACATGTATAAATCAAATCAAGAAAAATAAAAAGCAAAAAACCAAAAAGTAGAATAAGCACGCTTTGAAGGACATCGAAAGCTCTTTTTCATCTTTCGGTAGCTATTATCTGCAAAATTTTAAAACGACAAAAAATTAGATAACAAAATTTGACGATTAAAAAAAAAATTCCTATTTCACCTTAAGATTTCTGTTCTTCGTATTCATACATCTATACCAGTAGTTTGTGTGAGCATATGAGGTGAGTTTCAAAAAAAGTATTACATACACCGATAGTGAAAACACTGAATATAATGGATAACTCTGAAAACAGATAGAAGATGAATTAAAGCCTGCTAATTTTCATGATATAAAACTCAATTAACTGGAAAGAAAAAAACTGTAACTACTAATTCCAAAACTACCTGCAAAGTCCAAGTGATTGCAGCAGGTACGAATATATGTAATGAAAATATGCACAAGTAGAAAGCGAAAGCCAACTGATTGCTAAGCCATTTCCACGCTAGAAAAAAATTGCTTTAATAAATTTTGCGAAGAATAAAGAATAGTTTTAATAAATTCTGCAAAGGTTTAATAGTTTTCAATCTGATAAAAAAGCAAAATGGTCAATTCATGAAACCTTTCAAGTGATTTTAAACTCCAATTTTAAATTTGTTTCACTATTTAACATACCCATCAACTTCTCTACAACAAAGACAATGAAAACAGATATGTTCGACATCAGCACCATTGCCAGATTAGGCCATTTCCACCACGGATCCGTTAAAATAAAGTAAACCCAACTAGCTGGTGATATCAGTACTCCATATCTACAAATTATCAAATAAGAAAAGCCGATCAGTTATAGGTTAACAAATACTAGCTTCTCTCACGCTATTATTTACTTCATGAGATTTTCGAGAGCAAGACGACCATTTGATACAAATAGCAGAAGAACCGCAAGATTGAAAAATCCACGGTAATCCTTCCACCCGGAACTCTCACTGAATAGTGAATTCTGCGCAACATGAACTGGTTTTTCTAGATCAAAGCCATTCCTGCAAAGAAAGAAAGTGAGTCAAAAAAGTTCAGTTTAATTCATAAAGGGGAAAAACAAATATAATCAGAATAAATATATGATGGACAAAAAAAGAAATTGGTAAAAATACGATAGAAAGCGAACTTTTCAACTTGAAATTAAAATTCATTTTGAGCTATAATAATTATAAAAGAGGAGAGAACAAAACTCATTTTCTAGGAGTAATTGAACATTGACTTGAAGATGAAGGGATATTCGGATCATTTGATTGCAAAGATGGTAGTCGTTTTCGTGACAAATGCTTCTGATCATTCATTCTTTCTAAAAATTCCACGAAAATTACCAAATATAACAGAATTAGAATTATAATTCGATTGTCTTTTTGAATGAAAACAAAACAATTTTTGGCAAATGCTGCGTTTTTTTCAAAGAAAATTGTGAGGGTAAGTGTTATAAAGTGATATGAATATGTGCTTGAGCATAGAAATGCCATGACCAATTTTATAGATCTCGAAAAAAAAATTAATAGCTAAGACATTTTCAATTAAAACTTCACCAAATCACATCAATCATTTCTTGCTGGCATACAAACTATCGTATTTTAATCACAACTCAATAGAACCTAAAAGATTTCAAAATCACAACGTTACATAACAAACTGAATAGTATAAGATGGCAAAAAAAGAAAGAAAAAAGGCCATTCTCTGATGTAATACCATGGGTTACGATGATCCCTTTTATTCATCCACCACTATGCATATCTGCTTCATGTCGCTAACACTCCATACCTCATCGGATCACTTCATTCCTCACATTTCTTATCATTCTCCGTTGTCTACCATCACAGAGCTGCAAGCATAACGTCATATCCTCTAAGTTTTCTCCATCATTCGCTTCTCTCCATTCCATCAGATCAGTTCACTTTCGAGCTCAAAAGCTCAATCATCTCTTTTCTGTAAATGACAATCGCATCCGTGGGAGGGGACAGTGCTAAGTTGACTGATGAAGAATCGATACATGCAAGGACGAATTTATAACTTTCCCATGAAAAAGCAGGGAGAGTGGGAGAGAGAGCAGCTAATTTAGTATCATTCACGTGAAATGCGAACGTACCAACAAATATTTCGGTCCGATGTGAGAACGACAGAACCAATTCATACCCGCCCATCGCTCCCGCTTTCTCCCGTTTTTTTTTTTTTTCAACTATCGCTCGTTTGATATTTATGCATGCAAATTTTTATCCCAACTGCTATACATTGAGCCTTTACTTGAAACTTCTGGTTTAAAGCTCGGAAAGACCAATAACATAGGCCAAAAAGGGAGCGTTCGTTTTTCAGAAAGATTAAATTTGTTAAATTTTACTATGAAATAACTTTGAAGTTGCAAAAATTTCTCTCATTGTTGCATATTCAGCATTCTTTCCTATGCAAATGCTCAACAAATGCGCTTATAAATGAGCAAAATTGATGGATAATAGGTATTCTTTAGTTGATCACTTGACCTGACAGTTACACCGGACAGTTCATTGGTGGGTTTTTAGCTGGAATCTTCATGTCCATTAAGTGAGCTATTAGTTATTTCTGATTGTGGAAGTGATAGTGCTTTAAAGAAATCCTCCAATGAATGAATGAAATTTAAGGGAATGATTGATTAAAATTTGTCAAAAGAACGAATTTTTCAATGAAGCATTTAATTAATTAATTAATTAATGCTGATGAAGATTCATCATTACTTAACTTGATCAATTAATCAATGGAAAATTTAGATATTTCGATTGTTGGCTTACTTCTACAGCGACAATCCAACATTTTCCTGTCATTACTGATGATTTTGTGCATAGCCGTCTAACAACAAAATGAAATCAAAAAATAGGGTCATCCTTTATTTTCACATCTGTTCCCAATTTTTTTCTCAAAACTTTTACACAATTGAAAATTTATTAATTTTTAATCGTAACAATTAGTATATCATTAGAAAGCAATATTTCTTTTTTTAAATCCATCCAAAATTTGAAATTTTGAAATTGCTCGGAAGATTGCGCACCATGGAAATGTACAAAAAAATGGTGAATTGAATTTTAGAAAAATATATGCACGTAGTAGCTATTGAAATAGCCATTCATAATTCGCCTATTTACCTATGCATTTAATTTTAAGTGTTAAAATTTGTTAAAAAATTTGTCGAATACGGTTTCAATGGTTTAGATAAATTTCATGTCTCAGTTTTTTTTCAGAAAACAGCTGAAAAAATGAAAAGTATCGATGAATCAATAAGTTTGGCAGGGAAAACTGATTCGGAAATTACGAATGTCACAAGCAAGCGATCTGTCGAAAATAAATCTCTCTCTTCCGAAGTTGTTACAGCTTTTACTGAAACTAATTTTCGTTTTATGGAAGTTTTTTTGCTCATCAATCCATCAATTTCAAGTTTTATGTGCTTAATTTTATCAGATGATAATGGAAAAACGGCATTTTATTTTCTATTTTCTTTTATAACAAAATGCATTTCCCGATTTGTATGCATTTTTCATTTTTTCGATCAGGAAAATGAACAATCCGGAATTGAAGCAGAACTACCAATAGACGTAAAGACAAAAACCTTGTTGAAAAGTGGGGAAATAATTGAAATTGATAAAAAACGGTATTCCTTAGAGTCTCATATTTCAATAAGTGTAAAATTTTGAAATCGTGACCATACATGATCAAAAACGCAAAAAATGCTAATCCTCAAAGAATTGTTTAATAGCGGTCTGTATGCGGAAAAAACTGACATCGTCATACTCACCTGTGAAAAATCTACAAAACTTAGGCGAATTTTTCGCACTTTTTTTAGATTTTTTTGTGCAAACTATCAATCTGATGAATGCTTTAAATATCTTATTGAACTGGATCAACTTTCGATAAAACAAACCAAAAATAAATGAATTTCAACTTCGAAGAAATTTCAGTTATACTACGGATGGGCCAATAAAAGGTGATTACGGTGTTGTCGGTCTAATGGAGAAGGGAAATTCAAAGGCATTATTTGCTTTGCATTATGAATCACAAAATTGCAAAATCAAACGACTGCAGGTTTAAATGAATTTATTAACATCCATTTTCTTAAGCCAAAAACTAGCAATTATTGCCGTATTTAAATTGACATTTCAATTTTATTCATAATATAAACATATCTGTCAAATTGCTATTTTGATATGAATCATAGATTATTTGATAACAAATATCTCATTTCCTCCATATCATTTTTAATTATTGCCAATATCGTGTTGTATTCTAGTGCTCTTTGTAAACTCGAAATAAACCATTTAGTTTTAATGGAAATAAAATGAAGATTGAAATAGCATCAAATAATATTCTGAAATACTAAAACCCTAATATCAGATGAATACTTCATGGATTTATTAATTTCAAAAGGCTAAATTAAATTAATGCAAATTATAGGTGGAAATAGATGTACTGAAAAGTAGTGCGAAAGTTAGAAAACTGACGCATATTGCTTCTTTAATTTCACAGGGAAAGAATGTGAAAGTTAATATACGGTATTTTATGATAAAAATGGTAAGTTGCCCTCATTAAATGTTCAAAATGATGTCAAATATCAGTAAACGTGGAGGTTTAAATTATTGGCTGTTTTCACGTAATTTTGATGTAATATAGTGAATGCTGTAGGAAAATTAGTGTAAATTATAGATGGAAATAATATGCTCGTAATAAATTATTAATAATATATCAGTGAATCGATTTAATCTTAATCATTCATATTTCGTAGCGTTTTTGACTAATTTATTTTAGAAAGTAATATCAATTAAAGAAGATTAGTGCAAGAAATGTTTCAATTA